CCACCTTCCCCCCTATAATTGTTTGTTCCCACACTGTCCTAAAAAAACACCCGCCCAACGTTTTTTCCAATGTTTCCCTCCACCCCCTCCCCCCAAGAAAATGCAAGTAATCAAAATTACGTATCTGATAGCCCTCCCCCCCTCTTGGGTACCCCCCCCCAAAACTAACATTTAAAACCCGAGGGGTTTATACTGCCCCCCCCCCAAAAAAAAGAAAACCCTTCAACCACAATCTTACCCCCCTCCAAACAAAAAAAAATAACTACATGAAAACCGTTTCAACTTCCCCCCAAAACCCGCTGAGCCCCTCACAAAACCCATTCTCTTTGAAACCTCTTCGATGCTAACGCCCCCTAAGAAAACATAAACTAATTCCCCCCTCTTTCCGGGATTTTTAATTACTAAAAATTCCACCCAACACTCTCCAACATAGTGGGATACACCCAACCCTTGCATTGATTCCGACGACGACCCCCACCCACTAACGTTTTACCTTTTATTTTTTTTAAATTGCGTACCTTTTAACAAAAACCGCAACATTTCTTCACACCCCAATAAGCCCTGCCACCCCACCATTTGCGGATACCCCCATACCTCCCCCCCCCGAAGACCCCCCTTTCCCCCCCTGCCCGAATATACCTCTGCTTCACATATAGCGCCTTTACCCAACCCTAATGCCTCAATCCCCAACCCCCTGTCTTACCGCAGCATTACCACATCTTACCCAACCCCAGCCCTCCCAAAACCCCACACTACCTTTAAAGGCTTTCTTGTAATCCATAAAACCTGACTTCTTAAGGGGGAAATTTTCCGCCACTCCCCACACCTTACTATAAACAGCGATTTACCCACCACAACCCTTTGATCAAGGTTACATCCCCGCCCTTAGACTCCTAGCCACCAAAGCTCGTCCATTACCATTACTGAATTAACCCCTGCCCCCCTGTCACGGGGTAAAATACAAAATCCCACAAATCTTTTTGCCTATCTAAGTTATCCAGCCAAAAACCTCCCCCAAGGTCCCTCCTACCCAATTTGCCCACCTCCAACAACCGTATTTTTTGCTTATTTAAATCTCATCCCATAGCTTTTTCCCCAAAAATCTCAATTACCCTTCCCACTTTTCTTAAAACTCTATCTCATTAATAAAACAGTTGATCATCTACTAACCAACAATATTCCCACAAAATTAAACCCCTCTCCCCCCATCCTTCCCCCCCCCACCATCAACCAAACATAGAAAGGGATTCGCTACATGCAAAAGTATTTGGGAGAGTGGACACCCCTCCTTAAACCCCCCCCCATCTTTTCGAACTACCCCAACCCACCATTTACCTGAAATCCATCGATCATTCTCATACAATTCCCACCCATCCAACCCCCCTCCCCCCAAAAAACCCTTTTCACCAACCTCAAACAAAAATCCCTATCCACATAACATAACTTTCTCCCAAACCAACCCAAATACCCCCTTTCTATACCCTCAAGGAAATCCCAAAACGTCCATGACCTACCCCCATACTCCCCCCCGGGATACCAAATTTCCCCCATGTATCACCGACCCCATGACCTTTTTCCCGTCTATTACCCAAAATTTTCGCAAAACCTTTTAATCTGCACACATCAAAGATATTGCTCGGTAAGCACTCAACTCTCTACCCCCCCTCTTCTTGGGACCAAAACTAGACAAAACCCCTACTTTCGATTGCCCCCCTTCCCCCCATTAACAATGATCCAATAGCCTAACAAAGCCTGTCTAATAACCCCCAATGTGCCTAAAAAATCATTTGGTATACCGCTATCCTGGTGTTTTCCCGGGACCCTCCCCAAAACCCTTTCCACCCCAAACCCCCTTATACCAACCTCCAAACCCCACCTACCCGCTCACTTAAAAAGCTATGAACCCCCCTTCAAAAAAAACCCCCCCAGAACCCCCCTCCCCCAACTCCATTTCCCCCTAAAACCAACTATCAGCAAGAGACCATACTTTCAGTATTGGATAGGCTCGACCCACTGGGTACCCCCCACCCCAGGGGTTGTCTCCAATTGTAGAATGGTGGTTCACTCGTCGGGCCCCCAAATTTTTCGTAAAACAAAAACCCGACGGCTTTTTCACCCCCCCAATACATCCTCTAACCCCCGCCCTAACCCTAATTGCATCAAACCTATCATTGGTAATTTACATCCTCTCCGCAACTGTCCAGTCACCCCCTACCCCCCCCCAACAAACAATCTTTCAACTGTCCCTCCAATAATTTTGCAACCCAAAACGCCACCTCGCCTCTTCCCCCCCCAAACCTTAAAAAATTCGCTATTTTCCCCGGGTTTTTCCTGCTTTTTCCCCCCAACTAACAGATCATCTCCCTGTCCCTACCTCCCAAAAAAGGGAACCCCAAACCGAAAAAAGGGCCCCTCCTCCTCCTCCTTAAGAAAACCTTACATTTAATTCCAGTACCCAGAAAAATACGCACCACTCCATCCCACTCAAATCTGCTATTACCGCCCTTGATCCAAAAACCCCCCATCGAAGGGTTTGCAACCCTCACAACATCTATACCCTGTTTTTAAAATAAATTCTGTCCAATCGCCTTCAACCCCTACGGGCGAACGTTCTCCACTGGGTTTCCCCCCCCCCCCCACATCAACAACCCCAATATCCGCAATACTCCCTCAGCACACTCAGCACAAACCCCCCCTCCGGTTCGCATCACCACTCCTAATCACACAATTCCAAACACCCCAATTTCTGTTATAGCAGCAAACCTCCAAATGATACGCAATACCCCTACAAAATCTACTTTTTTCCCTGGGATTTCATTGCTGGCATGTAAACTCCTACAAAACTAGCCGACCTCACCCCAACACCATCCACCCCCACGACCCTCCCCCCCCCCCCTCTTCCCACCGATGACACGCAAAAGGGGGGTCTCCTTTATCGCCACTGCACCCCACCTTCAAATTTCAAACCATGGTAACAACTCCGATTCCTTTTAACCGCAACACACAACCACCCTATGATTACTCTTTCAAAAAGCAAATACTACATCAAACCGCCGAAAAACCACTCCAAAACCCAAAAATTTTTAACCTCATCTTAATCCCTTGGGCATTAAGCGGAACTTTTGAAAATTTAAAAAGTGGGGGCTTTCCCCCTTGCCCGGATTTACTCGCTGCCTTTTTCCATTACGTATTCCCCTTTTCCACTCGAGTTTTTTTTCCGTCAGCACCTCCCCCCCCCTCTCCCACTGTGCAACTCAGGCCACCTCTAGCACTATGAGGCACGGGTCCCAAAAAACCCCTGCCCTGACCCTTTTCCCCGGCCCTGCCCCCGGGGGAATAACCTCTCTATCCTGATGCCGCAGTTCTTTTTCAGAACTTCCACTTTCACACATCTCACCCTCAGACAATCCTCCTGGGGTAACCTCCACGGGCCCCCACACACTCCACCTTTTTTTTACTCAAAATCTTTTTCCCCCAATTTGTTTGTCCCTCCGCCTCCAACTTCACAAAAACTGAGGAAAAACCTCACACCGGCTCATCCCCATCCAAAAAATCCTTGATACATCTGCCAGTAAACCCTCCAGTCGAACTTCCTGACAAAGACCCTCAGATAACACCTTCGGGCTCCCCCGACCCCCTGGGATATGAAAACCACTCTCCTCCTCCGCCACCTCCCTCGACCTCCTTGCTCCAAGACGGGCCTCCGCCTCCGAGGAACAAGCCGCACCAAATCACCGCCTTTGATCACAAACCGTTTCCAAATTTGAGGGGCCTGCCTCCAGGGCACTGGGGTGCCCTGTTTCTCAAAACTGCACAGACGACATGTTTTTTTTCTCTGACCCGCATAGTACACAAAACCTTTTTCTACAACCGGGCATCGTTACATAGGATGGAAAAGGTCTTGTTAAAGACATTTTTAAGGGGGAAAAACCCCTGGCATTCCTTTTACGGCCATCCCCCCCAAACCCCCTGGTTGCAGAATGCCTGCCCCTAACGGAAAAAACTCCTGATCCATACGCCGTAGCCTCGAAGGACATTCCGTACCTTCACCCATGTTAGTACTTTAAAAAATCATGTAACACAATCCATCGCTGAATTACACTCATGCTTTTTTCCTGGGACTGCTCGACCCAAACTTTTGGTAGAAGCCGCCTCAGAAAATTTTACGAAATTTTTTACAAACCCAAAAGCGACGCCAATAATTCCTCGTTGGGGAAAACCATATGTGTCCCTGATGATGTTAGGGGGAAAATAGTTCATCGTATCTCCCCTTAACGTACCACGAACCAGCTCTATCAATAGTATTTTCTCTCCGTACTGTAGTTCACCCTTTTTAATCCCAAAATGACAGCGCACTCCACACTACCAAAGGTTTTTTTGATGACTTGGGTACTCGCCTGAAAAAACAGAGGGTGCTGGGCACAACTCACTCCCCCGTATCGGCGCGAATGAACTAGAGTTTTTATAATAAGGGTTTTGCATTTCCCCAAACCAAATAAAAAAAATCACTACTATACACAAAAAGCCCGCAATAGGAGAGGAACTTGACGGCGACGTTTGGGTCCGACTTAACTGAAACTCGGGTCATTTTTCCCTTTTTCCATGTGCGTTTTATTTGTTATGTTTCAGTCACGGTATTGTGCCATTTTTGATCTTTAAAAACATAACTACTGAATAGTCCAGAAGACCGAATTTCCCTGGGGTTTTTATTTCCATTTTGGGGATTACTTATAAATCATGGATTTCAGTACATATATACACACATAGATAACACACACATATTTATACACACACATAGAAATACACACAAAAGTATACACACTTAGTATACACACATAGTATACATACATATACACACACAAATACAAACATGTCGTCTGCTTGCTAACAGTAAGTGCGCAAGGAACAGGATTCAGAAGAAACAAAACAACAGTGAAACCGCGAAAAAATGGTTGGGAAATATAGCTCGGCAATTGTTTTTTTTTTATGGAAAAAGGGTTTTAATTATTTGTTATACTTGTCTCTCCTTTGATTTTGGTTTCCATGAGCATGTCTAGGAAGTCCCCCCGTCGCTGTCCAGTCTCCTGACGTCTGGTGATAGTGTGGGTCGCTACCTCCCTGAAGAATTCGAACTCTGAGCTGGTGAACTGTAGCCCCAGGCTATGGGCTACTTCAGCCACTCGGGGAGCCATTAACAAGATTATTACCTGCAGAAAAAAGGCCATATGAATTATAGCTATACCTATGTGATTTATGGTTATTCGCACATGAATTACAGTTACTTGTAAGTGAATTATATATTTCTATACACGTAAATTAATTTCACAATGAGTTAATCTGACGTGACTGTATGTTCCGTGCAATAATAATACTAATATCTTTATTTCTACAAGTACATGTACAAGGTATATAGGCCTAACTGACATTAATGACATACTGTACATTGAAAGTTGCTTGTTATGCAGAGCATTTCGGACAAATTAGCTCAATTTGTCCCAGGATGCAACCCACAAACCAGTTGGACTAAAAACCAAGGTACCCATTTTACTGACTGATGAACAGAAACGGTAGGTGTCTTATAGATACATGCCCCTAGATACATGTGATCCTAGGCAAGCCTCAGTGACCCTGGATTACCCTGAGTGACCGACCTTGAGTGCCCTGACGGGAGAGAGCTGGAAGATCCTGGTAGCCATAGTGGGAAAAATGGCAGCTTCTTTGGTCAGCGAGTCACACTCTATACCGAAGGCGCAGGAGGCGATGGTGTCCATAGTGTATTTGCCACACAGCTGCCGCGCCTGCAACACACTCACACAGCTCAACACTACATATGTAACATATCCTGTGTGATACAGTATGACGGGAAAACATATAGTTAGTTTTTGTTCCCACTATGTAACTGTTATAGAGAATAGGGTGACAGCACATTGCTGGTGCAGCCAAGTTTCCTAAATAAAAAAAATCTTAGTAGCACCATTAACTCTACATCAATGCGTAGAATAAAAATATATTAGGATTAGTAAACCCGGGGAGTTAATAGCCCAGAAAAACCCCAGAGGGCTAATAACCCTGGATAACCCAAATGGGTTAATAATTCACGATGGCCCAAGAAAATTAAGTAGTGTGACTTATTTCCATAAGGATTCTTATTAGGTCCCTCTTTAGAATACATCTAGGGGACAGGGTAAACAAGGGGTTAGGAGACTTTCTCATTCGTCTCGCCGAGCCCGAGAAACGAACCCGGGTCTTTTAGGCTGTGAGCTGAACGCACTATCGTTGAATTACAGTTAAATTGATCGTATATTAAGTAACTTTTAACTTACTTCAACAGGTGCCCGGGTTGCTGTACTCCGCGCCACAGTGAGCAAGTGCTGTGCCTGGGTGTAGAGAAGAGCATAGAAGCGGCGGGTCTTGGTGGCGGTGAAGGCTGGGGACACAACCCCCCGCAACATGCGCCAGTGCGCCCCCCGCGCGTTCGTCAGCATGTCGTTAGCAACGGGGCTCACCTGAGGTCAAGGAAAACAGTGAAATATAGTTAAGCATATCCTTGGTGTGATCATTTTCTGTTATTTTGCATCATTACTAACTTACCCCCTTACACAACCTTGCTAAGATTGACGTAATGTCAAATTACTTAATTTGACTAAGAATTTTTATAACTACATTTGACACAGCAGTATATATACACCGAGAAGTGTATATCTGTCAGTGTTTATATGACAAACGTTTAGTTTAATCCCAATTTTAGGAATTAAAGTATTCTTGAATGACGGGAAACAAGTGACATGTGCGTCGTTACACTCTAAACCCCATTAATTAATTATTGCGACCCCTGTATGGGTCACAATGTATATAATGCATATTACCTGTTCATATAATTTTATATTGCTTATATTTGCAATATTAGCTAAATCGTAAATATATTGCTTTATATTATTATTTGACTTAGTTATATTATTAGGTAGGATGTAACATTTATATATTATTCAGTGCTTATAGTTCGAGTGTTAAGTAGCTGACAGCATTGTCTAACAAGCGTTTCGCTCGTTACACTGCTGGCTTCTCTGTGTTGCTGGGCAGCAGCAGTCCACGGAGAGTCACGTGATAAGGGGGCGGTGATCACAGCTCACCTGGAGTAGTCTGCCTGGCCTGCACTCTGTCTATTGTCGGTTGGACGTGCTTCTAGCAAGAGGTCCGTCTACTTCTCTCTCCATTGCTGGCCCTTGTTGGAAGATCATCTCTGTCGCTTTCTTGTTGTTGGTTCTGTGTAACTCTGTTCACAGAACATTGTATAGACTTAGTGATTTTCGACGTTGTACTGAGGTTGTGTGTCACATAGACACTCTGAGAAACTCAGGTCCTGAGCTGTAGCTTCTGACCTAACTTGTACTGGTATCTGTGTACTGTCGCAGTCGGGAATTTTCTAATGCTGAACTTAGATTCAGTAGTATAGGAGTTTTGTGACTTGTGGAGGATCTGCAGATGGTCCCTACTTAGTGTCCTTATATTATCTCCTTGTTCCTGATTCTGTGTCGCTGTTGCTTGTTATATTGCTGTTCGGCTTACCAGTCGTTTTATTGTTCAAGCAAGCTGTTCTGACTGCCAGGTTGGTCAAGAAGTTAGTTTATGTGAGGCCTTTTAGTCAGTCACTGGTTAAGTCTAGTCGATTCTTGAGACATAGCGAACTACTTAGAGCACTTACACACATACACACAAACTTACTTGTATATATATGTATTATGTTATTATATGTTAACAATGTACCAGACGGTACTTAAAAGCCATTAAGACGTGATGTGTGCCTTCAGCACAATACTACTGTACACGCGAGAAGTGATTACTTTGATTATATTGATTACTATAATTTACTTTGATCTTATACACCTAGACAACTTTATTGTTATTAATAAACTTATTAAACTTTAATTTCTTTAGTTAGTAGCCTACCAGTTGTAATCCTGAAGCACTATTGAATCTGACTAAATTCTAATGGATAATTGGACCAGGATACTGACTACTTGTTACAAAAACCCAGTAACAGGCTGGATGCTAGAAGGGCAGACCTTTCTAGTATTCACTGGAGATCTCTAACAATATTAGATATCGCGTTTTTTGTAACATTAACCAACCAATATTTCACCAGATTTTCTTGTGGCAAGAAATGGAAAAAAACTTTTCCATTGAAACATTTATTTCTGTATTAAAAAATAGTATAAAATGAAAATTCACTCTTTTCGTGAAGACTAATGAAATACGAATGTACGAATTCTTAGAGAAGTTAGGTATGTAAAGCCATATTATTTTACGTTAAGTAACACCCAGGGAAGTGTGTTACTTGATGTAACACTTCCCTGTGTGTTAGTGAAAGTGTTCACTGAGGGTAAAGTGTTCACTGAGAGTAAAGTGTTCACTGAGGGTAAAGTGTTCACTGAGGGTAAAGTGTTCACTGAGAGTAAAGTGTTCACTGAGTGTAAAGTGTTCACTGAGAGTAAAGTGTTCACTGAGTGTAAAGTGTTCACTGAGAGTAAAGTGTTCACTGAGAGTAAAGTGTTCACTGAGTGTAAGTGTTCACTGAGAGTAAAGTGTTCACTGAGAGTAAAGTGTTCACTGAGTGTAAAGTGTTCACTGAGAGTAAAGTGTTCACTGAGAGTAAAGTGTTCACTGAGTGTAAAGTGTTCACTGAGAGTAAAGTGTTCACTGAGAGTAAAGTGTTCACTGAGTGTAAAGTGTTCACTGAGAGTAAAGTGTTCACTGAGAGTAAAGTGTTCACTGAGTGTAAAGTGTTCACTGAGGGTAAAGTGTTCACTGAGGGTAAAGTGTTCACTAAGGGTAAAGTGTTCACTGAGGGTAAAGTGTTCACTGAGGGTAAAGTGTTCACTGAGGGTAAAGTGTTCACTGAGGGTAAAGTGTTCACTGAGGGTAAAGTGTTCACTGAGGGTAAAGTGTTCACTGAGGGTAAAGTGTTCACTGAGGGTAAAGTGTTCACTGAGGGTAAAGTGTTCACTGAGAGTAAAGTGTTCACTGAAGGTAAAGTGTTCACTGAGAGCAAAAAGTTCACTGAGAGTAAAGTGTTCACTGAGGGTAAAGTGTTCACTGAGGGTAAAGTGTTCACTGAGAGTAAAGTGTTCACTGAGGGTAAAGTGTTCACTGAGGGTAAAGTGTTCACTGAGGTTAAAGTGTTTACTGAGGGTAAAGTGTTCACTGAGGGTAAAGTGTTCACTGAGGGTAAAGTGTTCACTGAGGGTAAAGTGTTCACTGAGGTAAAGTGTTCACTGAGGGGTAAAGTGTTCACTGAGAGTAAAGTGTTTCACTGAGGGTAAAGTGTTCACTGAGGGTAAAGTGTTCACTGAGAGTAAAGTGTTCACTGAGGTTAAAGTGTTTACTGAGAGTAAAGTGTTCACTGAAGTTAAAGTGTTTACTGAGGGTAAAGTGTTCACTGAGGGTAAAGTGTTCACTGAGGGTAAAGTGTTCACTGAGGGTAAAGTGTTCACTGAGAGTAAAGTGTTCACTGAGGTTAAAGTGTTTACTGAGAGTAAAGTGTTCACTGAGGTTAAAGTGTTTACTGAGAGTAAAGTGTTCACTGAGGTTTAAAGTGTTTACTGAGAGTAAAGTGTTCACTGAGGTTAAAGTGTTTACTGAGGGTAAAGTGTTCACTGAGGGTAAAGTGTTCACTGAGGGTAAAGTGTTCACTGAGAGTAAAGTGTTCACTGAGGTTAAAGTGTTTACTGAGAGTAAAGTGTTCACTGAGGTTAAAGTGTTTACTGAGAGTAAAGTGTTCACTGAGGTTAAAGTGTTTACTGAGGGTAAAGTGTTTACTGAGAGTAAAGTGTTCACTGAGAGTAAAGTGTTCACTGAGGGTAAAGTGTTCACTAAGAGTAAAGTGTTCACTGAGAGTAAAGTGTTCACTGAAGGTAAAGTGTTCACTGAGAGTAAAGTGTTCACTGAGGGTAAAGTGTTCACTGAGGGTAAAGTGTTCACTGAGGGTAAAGTGTTCACTGAAGGTAAAGTGTTCACTGAGAGTAAAGTGTTCACTGAGGGTAAAGTGTTCACTGAGAGTAAAGTGTTCACTGAGGGTAAAGTGTTCACTGAGGGTAAAGTGTTCACTGAGGGTAAAGTGTTCACTGAGAGTAAAGTGTTCACTGAGAGTAAAGTGTTCACTGAGAGTAAAGTGTTCACTGAGGGTAAAGTGTTCACTGAGGGTAAAGTGTTCACTGAGGGTAAAGTGTTCACTGAGGGTAAAGTGTTCACTGAGGGTAAAGTGTTCACTGAGGGTAAAGTGTTCACTGAGGGTAAAGTGTTCACTGAGGGTAAAGTGTTTCACTGAGGGTAAAGTGTTCACTGAGGGTAAAGTGTTCACTGAGGGTAAAGTGTTCACTGAGGGTAAAGTGTTCACTGAGGGTAAAAGTGTTCACTGAGGTAAAGTGTTCACTGAGAGTAAAGTGTTCACTGAGGGTAAAGTGTTCACTGAGGGTAAAGTGTTCACTGAGGGTAAAGTGTTCACTGAGAGTAAAGTGTTCACTGAGGGTAAAGTGTTCACTGAGGGTAAAGTGTTCACTGAGGGTAAAGTGTTCACTGAGGGTAAAGTGTTCACTGAAGGTAAAGTGTTCACTGAGGGTAAAGTGTTCACTGAGAGTAAAGTGTTCACTGAGGGTAAAGTGTTCACTGAGGGTAAAGTGTTCACTGAGAGTAAAGTGTTCACTGAGGGTAAAGTGTTCACTGAGGGTAAAGTGTTCGCATAGTAAAGTGTTCACTGAGAGTAAAGTGTTCACTGAGGGTAAAGTATTCACTGAGGGTAAAGTGTTCACTGGGAGTAAAGTGTTCACTGAGAGTAAAGTGTTCACTGAGAGTAAAGTGTTCACTGAGAGTAAAGTGTTCACTGAGGTTAGTGTTCACTGAGGGTAAAGTGTTCACTGAGGGTAAAGTGTTCACTGAGAGTAAAGTGTTCACTGAGGGTAAAGTGTTCACTGAGAGTAAAGTGTTCACTGAGGGTAAAGTGTTCACTGAGAGTAAAGTGTTCACTGAGAGTAAAGTGTTCACTGAGAGTAAAGTGTTCACTGAGAGTAAAGTGTTTACTGAGAGTAAAGTGTTCACTGAGGGTAAAGTGTTCACTGAGAGTAAAGTGTTCACTGAGGGTAAAGTGTTCACTGAGAGTAAAGTGTTCACTGAGAGTAAAGTGTTCACTGAGAGTAAAGTGTTCACTGAGAGTAAAGTGTTCACTGAGAGTAAAGTGTTCACTGAGAGTAAAGTGTTCACTGAGAGTAAAGTGTTCACTGAGAGTAAAGTGTTCACTGAGAGTAAAGTGTTCACTGAGAGTAAAGTGTTCACTGAGAGTAAAGTGTTCACTGAGAGTAAAGTGTTCACTGAGAGTAATACTTCAGACCCACAGCTCAACTCATTTACAGGTTGAGGTAATATCCTGCCTCAACTCATGTACAGGTTGAGGTAATATCCTGCCTCAACTCATGTACAGGTTGAGGTAATATCCTGCCTCAACTCATGTACAGGTTGAGGTAATATCCTGCCTCAACTCATGTACAGGTTGAGGTAATATCCTGCCTCAATCATGTACAGGTTGAGGTAATATCCTGCCTCAACTCATGTACAGGTTGAGTAATATCCTGCCTCAACTCACGTACAGGTTGAGGTAATATCCTGCCTCAACTCATGTACAGGTTGAGGTAATATCCTGCCTCAACTCATGTACAGGTTGAGGTAATATCCTGCCTTAACTCACATATGAATTTAAGAGTTGTTATCGTACCTCATCTTAATGTAAACCTCAGTTTTATCCAAGTTACGCTATAACTCCCCAGAATGCCACCCACAACTCTTCGCTAACACCGAGGTACCTATTTACTGTTAGATGAACAGAGACAGCAGGTGTCAGGAGAGTATAAGACTAACACTTTAGCATCTAATGAATGCTAGGTGAACAAATGCAACAAGTGTAAGACAATTTGCCTATTCAGCTCGCTCTACCTGGGAATCAAACCCGGGTCCTATCTAGAAGGAGGAAGCACTGCAGGGGGTTCCTACCTTTACTAGATCGAAGGTCCTACGGTCAGCGAAGTGTTGGAAGTCCTTGATGAGAATGTCCCTGAGGATGTCTGGATTGCCCACCACCAAGCCAGGCTTCAAGAAGTCGTAGTAACCACACACGTCCCGTCCGTTGTACTTAAAATACGCTTCCTCAAAGAACTGATCATACACAAAGTGTAAAAAAATTAAATTTTCCGAATTTTGTAAAACTAACACATAATAATAATAATAATAATAATAATAATAATAATAATAATAATAATAATAATAATAGGTCGCTCTCCCTTTCAATAATTAACATAGAAAAGAAGATCATAAACATTCAAACTTAACCAAGCGTTACTGAGAAGTTTTATGTCGTCTCTCTAGTGTAGTTTATATATAATTTAGTCTAAACATATATACAGTCTTTTATTTTGGGGACAATTGCTCCGATATGGTAAACATGAGAAAATTAAAATTTCGTCAGAGTATAAAACAAATTCTGGCAACAAAATAGAGCGAAACACCAACGTCAAAGACCTGGGAGTGATTATGTCGGAGGATCTCACCTTCAAGGACCATAACATTGTATCAATCGCATCTGCTAGAAAAATGACAGGATGGATAATGAGAACCTTCAAAACTAGGGAGGCCAAGCCCATGATGACACTCTTCAGGTCACTTGTTCTATCTAGGCTGGAATATTGCTGCACACTAACAGCACCTTTCAAGGCAGGTGAATTGCTAACAGAGAACCTTCAAGGCGCGCATAACGTAGATAAAACACCTCAATTACTGGGAGCGCTTGAGGTTCCTGAACCTGTATTCCCTGGAACGCAGGAGGGAGAGATACATGATCATATACACCTGGAAAATCCTAGAGGGACTAGTACCGAACTTGCACACGAAAATCACTCACTACGAAAGCAAAAGACTTGGCAGACGATGCAACATCCCCCCAATGAAAAAAAGCAAGGGTGTCACTAACACGTTAAGAGACAACACAATAAGTGTCAGGGACCCAAGACTGTTCAACTGCCTCCCAGCATACATAAGGGGGATTACCAATAGACCCCTGTCTGTCTTCAAGCAGGCACTGGACAAGCATCTAAAGTCGGTACCTGACCAGCCGGGCTGTGGCTCGTATGTTGGATTGCGTGCAGCCAGCAGTAACAGCCTGGTTGATCAGGCTCTGATCCACCATGAGGCCTTGTCACAGACCGGGCCGCGGGGGCGTTGACCCCGGAACTCTCTCCAGGTAAACAGTAGACTTTCGTACTGGATGTGTGTGTGTGTGTACTCACCTAATTGTACTCGCCTAATTGTGGTTGCAGGGGTCGAGACTCAGCTCCTGGCTCTGCCTCTTCACTGATCGCTACTAGGTCCTCTCTCTCTATGCTTCCTGAGCTTTGTCATACCTCGTCTTAAATCTATGTATGGTTCCTGCCTCCACTACATCACTTGCTAGGCTATTCCACTTCCTGACGACTGTATGACTGAAGAAATACTTCCTAACATCCCTGTGACTTGTCTGAGTCTTTGGCTTCCAATTGTGACCCCTTGTTTCTGTGTCCCCTCTCTGGAACAACCTGTCTCTGTCCACCCTATCTATTCCACGCAGTATTTTGTATGTCGTTATCATGTCTCCCCTGACCCTCCTGTCCTCTAGTGTCGTCAGCCCGATTTCCCTCAACCTTTCTTCGTAGGACATACTCCTGAGCTCCGGAACTAGCCTTGTTGCAAACCTTTGCACTTTCTCTAATTTCTTGACATGCTTGACCAGGTGTGGGTTCCAAACTGGTGCTGCATACCCCAGTATGGGCTTGATGTACACAGTGTACAGTGTCTTGAACGATTCCTTACTAAGGTATCGGAACGCTGTTCTCAGGTTTGCCAGGCACCCATATGCTGCAGCAGTTATCTGGTTGTGTGCCCCCGGAGACATGCTCGCTGTTATGGTCACCCCAAGATCTTTCTCCTTGAGCGAGGTTTGTAGTTTTTGCCAAACTAGAATTTACTCTGTCTCGGTCTTCTTTGCCCTCCCCAATTTCTGCTTTGCATTTGGCTGGTTTTGAATTCAAGAAGCCGTTACTGGACCACAGTCCAGCCTTGGGTCTCTTTGCGTCCTGCCTTCCTCGTCCGATTTATTTTTCATCAACTTCAGTCTTGCGAACGGGACCTTCAGAGTCTATTTTTCCACATGTCTTTTTACATATATCAAAAAATAGCACTGGCCTAAAACGACCCCTGTGGGCCCCGCCGAAACAGGCCCATGTGTACCTTTTTACGTACCATGACTCGTTGCTGCTCCTTGTAGGTACCCTTATCCATTGCATGCCCCTTCCTTTTACGGTGCCTGATCTCGCTTCTGCACTAATCTCTTGGGGGGAAACTGTGTCAAGGCCTTTTGCAGTTAGGAAAAGCAATCTCCCCACCCCTCTCTTCGTGTCTTATTCTTTCCTTGTCTAAAACCCCGGAGGTTTGGATACAAGATTTGCCTTCCAGGAACCATGGGGTTTTTTCATTTAAAAATCTTGTTCCTTTTCCCAGGGTTCGCCCACTTCCCCCTGATAATCTTCTCCGATTTTGGACACAATACATGTCGGGGACACGGTCTGTGTTTAGTCCCCTCGTTCTTTTTCCCTTTCTTAAATATGAGGACAATTAGGTCTTCCATTTCTCAGGTAGGTTGCCCGTTTCAAGGGATGTGTTAAAGTTTGGTGGTTAGAGGCACTCACAGCATCTTGCTCCTTCTCTAAGGACCCATGGGGAGATGTTGTCCGGTCCCATCGCCTTTGAGGTGTCAAGGTCACTTAAGAGCTTCTTCACCTCCTCCTCAGTTGTTCGTATTCATCCAACACATGTTGGTATATACCCTCTTGATTTCCCTTCTGTGCTGTCTTCCCCAGCCCTTCCTGTCTCTACTGTAAAACTTCCTTAAATCTCCTGTTCAGCTCCTCACATCCCTCCTGATCATTTTTGTGAGTTCTCCACCTTCTGTCCTTATTGTTTCACCTGGTCTTTGACTGTTGTCTTCCTCCTGAAGTGGCTATACAACAGTTTGGGTTCAGTCTTGATTTCGATGCTATGTCATTTTCATACTTTTCGCTGGGCCTCCCCCCTTTACCTGTGCATACTCATTCCTGGCTCTGCGACTGATCTCCTATTTCGTGTGTTCTCTGCCTTCTGTACTTTTTCCATTCTTATTGCACTTTGTTTTTGCCTCCTTACACCGTCGGGTAAACAGGGGCTCGTTCTGGTCTTCCGTTGTTACTGTTGCCCCTTGGGAATGAACCTTTCCACTGCCTCCTTGCTTTTTGTTGCTACATATTCCATCATTTCATTTACTGGCTTTCCTGCCAGTTCTTGTCCCACTGGACTCCGCAGGAAGTTCTTCAACCCTATGTAGTCCCCTCTTTTAATGTCAGCTTTTCCCATTCTACTCCTGTTATTCTCTCCACTTGCAGCTCTACTATGTGGTTCAAAGCACAGAACCACGTGGTCGCTAGCTCCTAGGGACTCTCATACTTGATGTCCCCAATGTCTGAGCTGCCCAGGGTGAACACAAGGTCCAATCTTGCTGGTTCATTCCTCCCCTCTCACTTTTGGTAGTGTCCTTAAATGTTGGGCATGGGTTTTCCAGCACCACGTCCAACATCCTGGCTTCCATGTTTCGGGACCCCCCTGTGGCTCCAGGTTTTCCAGTCAATCTCCTGTGGTTGAAAATCCCATAACCAGCAACTTTTTTCTCTGTGGAGTGAGCTCTTCTTGCCCCCTCAGCAAGTGTGTCCACCATTGCTCTGTTGCTCTCTTCATATTCCTCTCTTGGCCTTTCCCGCAGTTCTTGTGGTGGATTATACATCAATGCAATGACCATTTGTGTTCCCCAGACTGAAGTGTACCTGTATGTAGTCTCTTTCTCCCCTCTCATCTATTCCTTCCATTTTCTCGAATTTCCCTCTGTTTTTTTTCGAGCAGAGCAACCCCACCCCCCCCCTGCCCCCTTTTATCTTTCCTCATGATCAGGTATCCCGGTGGGAAGATTGCATCTGTTATGTTTTCCCTGAGTTTGTTTCTGAACTGCTATGATGTCTGGGGACTTCTCATTATTTCTTTTTGCCTTCCTCAGTTTTTCGTTAATCCATGCAATTTGTGTACCAAACCTTCAAATTTGTTTATATCTGTAACTGTGGTGCGGGGGGGTGGAAACAGGGATGGTTTTGTGATGGTTTGGTTTGGATTGTTTAGTTGCCTTGGGGCGTGTCGTGGCTGGGTCCTTCTGCAGGGTTTCTGGGGGGTGCGCTTGTCCCTTCCATTTGATCCTGGTTATTCTGCTCCTCCTTTTCATTTACTTCCCATTTCTCCTTTCGTTTTTGAACTTCTCTTTCTTGTCTTCCTTTCGTCCTGTGTTCTGTCTTGGTCGAAAAGGGACTCCCCTCGGAACTCCCGCTTGCCTCTCAGCCGTGCTTTCTCTGCAGGATCATGGTTCGGGTTGATTCTGCCTTTGAAAATTTACTTTTTGAGAGGCCGATCCTTTTCTTTTGTGAACCACCAATTCTCCCGAAAATTGGCACCTGGGTCAGTCCCCCTCGCCTATCACCCTTCAATATCCAACGCTTTTTTCTCCCCCTGCTTTTCTTTTCATCATTAAGTTTCCCCTTTGCTTGTCTAGCCCTTTAGACAAAAACAGGATCTCTCCGTTTCCCCACTCCCACTGTGACTCCCAAATTGCATCTCTGATGTGTTTTAGTTCTTTCCGTGGCGTGTTCCTTCAGTCCTTCCCTAGTTATGGCCCCTAGGCTATTGGTTTTCCTTCCTGCTCATTTGCTCCTGGCCCCACAGGTATTGGTAAGGTCCTTGCACATGTCCTAGTTCCTTCAATGTCTTCCAACCTTTTCTTTCTGTCCTAGTGTGCTCCCCGTCTTTGTTTTGGCCCCCTGTGGGTTTGACAGGACCTCTGATACAGTTTAGTTTCCCCTGCTTCCTTCGGACCTGTGTCTGTGTTCGATGTAGCCCTTGCCGATGTACTTCTGTAATATCTTTGTCTCTGTGCTGTTTCAGATGTCTCAGCTCCTCTTCTAATCTCTCTATCTTGATTTTGCTGCTGTGGCCTGTTGCTTCCACCTTCTGCTGCTAACCTCCCCTTCCATCTTCCTTTCCAGCTATCTAGTCTCCTTCCCAGTCTTCCTCCCTTTTTTGAGCTCTACCTCCCATTCCTCCCTCCCCAGATTCGTCCTTGGAGCCCCTTGTCCTATCCTGGTTAGGGGGAGGGGGAATAGTGGTTAGGAGAGGGGATGGATGGTTGTGGG